GGGTGAATAAAACGGGGGTGGAAGGAAACATATTTAACAACACAACAAAAAAGGATAAAATACGATTGCAATGGTAGTGGGGTGGCCCTTACGCACATGGTCCGGTAAACACGCTGCCCCGTTCCCTCTCGACGCTGTGAGGCGACTTCAACAACAATGAGTTCTCTACATGTTAGTATTTTACTGTGTGCCCTTCACCCCACTTCTGAAAGGGGGGTGAAGAATTAAAAGCATGCGAACAATTATCATTGCCATCATCGTAGGAATGGCGCTGACGGCGGCTAGTGCGGGTGGGGTTTGTGCGCGGGTGCCGCTTTAAGGGAATGAAAGTATCGGCGAACTTGTTTTATTTATTTCTGTTTAAAAAGGGGAAAAAAAACAATATCACTTTCCGATGCCTCTTTCCCTCTCTTGGGACTGGGGGTAGATGAAAAGAAATACAATGAATAAAACTGATGATTGATGAGGCAAATAATGCGGCAAATAACCTGAAATGTGGCCGATGCTTTGTGGTTATGTCTCCATGGGAACTGAGTAAAGGGGGGAAGAAGAGGGTGAGGGGAATAATTGACATTTTGTTAGCGGCCGCAGGCACGCGTGTGTCGCCGCATGTGCGTATTGTGTGATTCTCTTCCTTCGCGTTCTGTGGGTCTGTGCGTGCGCCACGAGGGTTTGCCGCCCTTAAGCGAAATATACTGCGTTTTTAGCTAGCTATATTAAGGTAGTGTTAGTAAATACACAGGGCGAGAGGGAGGGGAGGGACACTTTGGTAGTGCTTCCCAATTTGTTTGCGTCCGTCTCTGCGTGTGTGTTTGGTTATCGCAGCAAAGATAGTGAAGGCAACCAGTTGTAGAAGGGCCTTACACGTGGTTAAGACTGGCCGCACTTTCGTCTTGAAGCGTTTTTTTTTTTTTAGGTTGTGGAGGTTTTTGGTGCGTCGGAAGAGCGGGCAGGGGGCGACAGAGGCGAGGAGGTGGTGCTTGCCATGCGTGTGGAGGTGAAGTTTGGCACTCAGGCCCTCGTGGTGGAGTTGCCAGATGGCCCCACGCCGCCAACCCTTCTACAGCTGAAGGAGCAGCTCTACGCCCAGACGGGTGTGCTGCCCGCGATGCAGAAGCTGCTAGGCAAACCCAAACTGAACGACGCTAACAGTGATGCCAAATCGCTGGTACAGCTGGGTGTGCGCAACAACGCGAAGCTGATGCTCATTGGCTCCGCTGTGGCAGAGGTGGTGTCGGTGAACACCTCCTCCGCTGCACAGAAGCGGCAGGAGGAGGAGCGGGAGAAGCTGCTGCGGAACCTCCCGCTGAACATTTGGATGCTTCCCTCCTTTGCTGGCCTCATGGCGGATCCGTACGTGGAAGGCAAAGGGTTC